ACATATCCTGATTATATTAATTTAATATATTTACATTTATGTAGGTGAATGAGCTTAATAATTTTTTCTTTACAGATAATGCTCTGGCTCATCAAATTAATGTTGAACAGGTTTTTTTTTTCTTTTCATAACAGGTGTAAGGGCTAAAAGTGAAAATCTTAAGTGGTCACTATTTGAAGTTATATAAATAATTACCCAGGAAAAAACAAGAACAAACTCTTAACCTATTAGAACTGGTAAGAGGGAAGTGGAGGTGAGATTTGAGCAAAAAGATAAGCAAGAACCTGATGCCCTGGGTTCAAGACCAATGTTGCAGCCAACATACACACAAACTAAAATAATTTAAAAAGAGAACAGAGGGCTGGGAAGGTGGCTCAGTGGTAAGAATGCTTGCCTTGCATGCATGAGGCCCTGGGTTCAATTCCTCAGCACCACATAAGCAGAAAAAGCCAGAAGTGGCATTGTGTCTCAAGTGGTAGAGCGCTAACCTTGAGCTGAAGAGCTCAGGGATGGCGCCCAGACCCAGAGTTCAGGCCCCACGACCGACAAAAAAAAAAGAGAGAGAGAACAGATAAAAAGAATTCACAAGGTTTTCTAGATATAAGAAGAACCTAGGAAAACCAACAGCACTGTCTTACACCAGCCATAACTTTCTAGAAAATAATAATTTTGAAAATATGAGATTGTTCACAAGAGCAAGCAATCTACTAAGGATCTTAGAGCTAACGAAGCAAAATCACACAAGATGTATATGGGGAAACCCTGGTATTTATACCAAAGGACACAAAAAATGAGCAAAAAGAAGAAGAAGGCTGAATCCACATTCTTTTTTTTTTGTTTCAATGTCTTTTTTTTAAATTTTATTTTATTTGTGAACATACTGTACAGAGGGGTTACAATTACATGGGCAGGATAATGCGTACATTTCTTACCAAGCATTGCAGCCTCACATCCCTTCCCAGCCTCCCCCCTCCCCCCCATCCAATCCTTCTCCTTCCCCCCCTTCCTCCTCCCCCCCGCACTGACGTTGTAAAGCTCGTTTTGGACATGGCAACTTGTACTTCTCATTGTTGCAACAGGTCCACCTGTATCCTTAAACAACTGGTTTTTCCCCATCTCCTCCACAAGTTATACTGACATCAAATATAGTGAAAGCAGGGGTTATACTGTGGGGGAGGGACATACAAAGCAACAAAGAGATAATCTTATAAATGCGTTCGAAACACATGCATGAAAGAAAAAAACATTAAAATGCATATCTAAGGGTTCATTTTCCTGAATCACATTATCTGACCTTTGCCGCTTGACTCATACATATACTAGATATTGCAAATAAGGGAAACCATGGGACCTATGTTTCTTTGGGCCTGGCATACTTCACTTAATATAATTTTTTCCAAGTTTTTCCATTTCCTAACAAATGGGGCAATGTCATTCTTTCTGATGGAGGCATAAAATTCCATTGTGTATATATACCACATTTTCTTGATCCATTCATCTACTGAGGGGCATCTGGGTTGGTTCCATATCTTAGCTATGGTAAATAATGCTGCAATAAACATAGTTGTGCTGGTAGCTTTAGTGTGGTCTTGTTTGTAAACATTTGGGTAAATGCCCAAAAGTGGGATTGCTGGGTCATAGGGGAGTTCTATGTGAAGTCTTTTGAGGAACCTCCACACTGCTTTCCAAAGTGGTTGAACAAGTTTACATCCCCACCAACAATGAAGTAAGGTTCCTTTCTGTCCACATCCCCTCCAGCATCTGTTGTTGTTAGAGTTCTTGATTTTTGCCGTTCTAACTGGGGTGAGGTGATACCTCAATGTTGTTTTGATTTGCATTTCTTTTATGGCTAGGGATGTTGACCATTTCTTCATTGAATCCACATTCTTGAATTGGATCATGCAACATTGCAAAGGTTTCTATTCTTCACTAGTTCTTCTATAAGCTTTATGTACTACAAAGTGAAGGTCCCATCAGATGTTTTCTTGAAATAAAGTAAATTTCTCTGAGGGTTGTTTGAAGGAATATGTGTCCAAAAATATCCAAGTCCTTATAAAGAACAGTGAAGGGCTAGTGACCCTTCACCCAGCATATTAAGATACACCACAAAGCCACATTGACAGTCACACTGATTTTGACACAGTTCAGGCAAAGAAACCAGTGGAGCAGAACAGAGACAGACCCTTATGCTTCTCCGGATGCTAAAAGATAGCAGCAGCAGCACCAGACATCATCAGAGAAGAGACAGAAATCCAGTTCACTAAACAGACAAAAAAATAAAACCAGGCGTTTTCTCAATACCCTATGCCAAAATCTTTTAGAAGAAACTATAGACTTTTAGGACTTAAGAAAGAGGGACTGAAAAGTTTAGTAGTACAAAGAATAAGGCCAAAATTTTTTTTTTTTTTTTTTTTTTTTTGGGTCCGGTCGTGGGGCCTGAACTCTGGGCCTGGGCGCTGTCCCTCAGCTCTTCAGCTCAAGGCTAGCGCTCTACCACTTGAGCCACAGCGCCACTTCCGGCTTTTTTCTGTTTGCTTATGTGGTGCTGAGGAATCGAACCCAGGGTCTTGAGCATGCAAGGCAAGCGCTCTACCACTGAGCCACCTTCCCAGCCCCAAGGCCAAAATTTTTTAAAGCCTTTATTATATCTAAACCAAGAAGTGCTGTTCAACAGAGGGTATAATTGATCAACCAGGTTAATTTAAATAGAATGGAGAAAAGACTATCACAATATATAAAACCAAGAAGCAAATGCTATTCAGAATATACAAGGAATTCCCACTATAAGACTATAAGACAAAAGCCTAGCAATCCTGATTTTTTTTTTAAAAAAAATGGCTGAGGTAAACTCATAGCACTAGCAATCAAGTAGAAGAGAAAACACAGCATTCTAATGAATACAGGATATGATGTGCAAAGTCATTAGGAGTCGGAGAAATCTGAATTCAGCAATAACTGTCTTAAATAGTTCCCCCTTTGACATCCGATATGGTCAACAGAATTTGACAGTGTGCTTTGGACAGATAGAAGAGTTTCTGGGTTCATATCCATTGTCTTCTTACTAAAGCAGAAACCGACAATGTACTTTGGACAGATAGAAAAGTTTCTGGGTTCAAATCCATTGTCTTCTGACAAGCTGTGTACATACCCTTTGGGAAAACCCCTAACCTCTCTGAACCTCACCTTCATCTTTGATTGCTTGTTGGTAAGTTTTAGCAGAGGAACACCACTACTCCTAAATTCAACTTCCTCTCTTGTTCTCTTCAACAATATAGCCTCAGGAGGATTGCACACAAACTGTGCAAACCCAGACAGATCAGCTGAACCAACCCCAGCAATCATGGGGTGATGGGTCCCCCCAATCTCCATCTCTTTTAAGGTAAAAATACGACCTCCACTCTCTCGAAGGCTAACTGAAAGACTTCAGTGTAACAAGCCAGAACAAGCGTTCAGCACACTCAACAAAAGATCACGGTTGTCATTCTGATCATGGGCCAACCACTTATTGGGAACAAAACACTATGTAATAATAAGTTTTTTTTAAAAAAGTTTGGGATGAGTAGATCCTTGACAAATGGCGGGAGAGTACATGTACTGATATCTGATCGATCAGCTCAGCAATGCTTTCATTTCATTTGAAGTCCTGGAGAGAAGAATCACCAGTAAGCAAAGTCCTTCTGCCCTGTCATCACTAGAGAATGTTGAAAATGGTATTCTCTACGGCACATGGACCCTTGCTTACTCACACTGCAGACAAGCAGTCTTCTCTGACTCTTCCCCAGCTGCTAGGGACTCCACACTGGTGCTGTCTTTAATACCAAGGAGAGAGACCGTAAATAACTTTAAAAAATAGATTTTTTTTTTGTCAGTCATGGGGCCTGAGCTTAGGTCCTGGCCGCTGTCCCTGAGCTTTTTTGCTCAAGGCTAGCACTCAACCACTTTGAGCCACAGGTTCACTTCCACTTTTCTGGTAGTTCATCGGAGCTAAGAGTCGCACAGACTTTCCTAGCTGGGCTGACTTTGATCTGCCAATTCTCAGATCTCAGCCTCGTGAGTAGCTGGGATGACAGGCATGAGCCACCAGCGCCCGGCTAATAAATAGATTTTTTTGCCTGGTGTGGGAGGCAGAGTTACCAATGGCATTCCAAAACACACCCTCTGGAGAGGAAAGGACAAAGCCCTGAGAAGCCTGGTTTAGATGCCAGCTCACCTGCAGGACAGGTAGGGAAGAGAAGGGGTAGCACAAGACCCCTTTTTAGGCCTGAGTGATTTGATCCCTGGGGCTGGGTTTGATGGCTGAGAGCAGAGTTTGTGAGTTCTCTCTTTTTCTCTGTGTTTTCAGAGTGGAGAGAAGGCATGGTTTACAAGGTCAGGCTTTCAGGTCTGGCGCGGGTCTCCTGTGCAAGCTGACCCAGCGGACTGAAGGACAGGACTTTGGGTTTACAAGTCGTTGTTGGATATGTGACTTAACGGATCTCCTTGAGCCTTGCTTCCTTGTAAAACAAGAATGCAAAAATATAATACCAGGACTTTTCTAAGTCGTTGCCTGTCGGAGTGGAGCCCTGTTAGGTGTGAGTTGGAGCTCACCTTCACCAGCCCGGTCAGAAGTGCTGCTTACATGGTTGAGGGGACCCAAGTTTGTGGCCTGTGTGTTGGTATTCTGTGATTTATAGTATTGGGGACCAGGGGAAATGGCTGTCTTCCTCAGGAACAAGATGGAATGTTCTAGATAGAGCTAGGAGCTGAGTGGGTGCCCCTCCACCTGAGGATGGTGAGGCCATTGGGACACAAACGTGTCACATCAGAACTTTGTGCTGGGCCTTGTCCACAGAACCACTGAACTTTGCAAGGGGGAGACAAGTTCCTTTGAGTTGTACATATGACCTTTGGCTCTAATATCTTTAGGTCCATAAACTCAGTCCACTGAGCTATAAAAGCAACTCATTTTATCACATTCTCTCCACAGTCTGCTGTGTGATCCTTCGGCCATATACCCACACCAAACTAGAGGCTATCAGCATGACAAAGGACCAGAATGGAACCTGGGAGATGGAGAGTAATGACAATTTTGAAGGCTACATGAAGGCCTTGGGTAAGGGGTTATAGCACTGGGGAAGGGAAGGGGTTGAGAGGGGAGGCGGGGGGTGGGGAGAATCAGTCTGCCCATGCAAAATCAGAGAGGTCATATACAAATTTTGAGGCTGTTTCTTCACCTGCAAATCATATATAATAATAAATGAGGCTGTGTTTAGAATGTCCTTAGCATAATAGTAGGTCCACAGGAAACAGACTGTCTACATAGAAAATACACACGCATGCATACACAGACACAAGGTACAACCTGAGGAGACGGTAACACACTCCTTAGCTTTTTGATCACCTTCTCTCTGGTGGCCATTTTTGCACTATAAGTACCCGGTAGAAATGCAGTTACAAACCTGTACGCGGGTGATTGATTGGGAGCATAGTTCGGAACTGATTCTGATCAATATCATACAGAGGGAGGAATCAAACTGCTGGAGCCAGAGCCCAGTACCCACTCTCTGACATTACCTTCCCTTTTTTTAACCTTTCAGAACCTGTTTCTCATCTTTCAAATAGGGAGACTAGCATCAGCCTTGTCCATGTGTCTGGGGGGGTGTTAGATGCAGTTGTGGTTTTTCATCGTTGTAAATACCGTAGTAGGTGTTGTTTGTGAGCCTCATGGTATAAGAGGTATGCTATATGAATTAGACTTGTGTTATCAGAAAGCAACTTTGTGGGTTTTGCACCTTTTGCTTAAATAATAAAAAGTCCTCTGGTATAAAATTCAGTTTCTGTACAATCTAAGGCTCTGTGGGATGGGATCTTAGAGCTCATCTTTTCTGCAAGAAGGAGGGGGAAGAAAGCATTCCTAACTCCCCTTTTTCCCCTGGTGGTAGGAGATGATCCTGTGAAGGGTGCCTTTAGCCATCTCCCAGAAATCCTCTCTCTGTAAGCAGCCTCTTTCTGGACTCCTGCTCACCGGATTACACCATCCATGTGGGCGTTCTCAAGTCGAGAATGTGATGTTCGGATCCTTCCATCAACAAGTTTTGGATTGGCCTTCCTTTGCTCTTAGCATCAGATCCAAACTTATAGTTTACAGATCACACATTATGATGTTGTGCTAAGGAGCTATTTGACCACTTTGCACCAGGTTCTCTGCAGTGTAGACAGGTCACTGATTATTGAGGATTGAGATGACAATGGATGGATGGATGGATGGATGGATGGATGGATGGATGGATGTCTGATGACCCAAGGTAAATGTATTTTGCAAAATCTTGATGCCTGCTAGTGCTGACAGTAATATTCCACATTCTGGCCAAAGTCTTTATATATAGACCCTGTGGCTCCTAGTTGGATTTTCAAATGCAAAGTACTGTGAGTTAGAAAAAGCTAGGTGACCATGGTAAGTAGAGTCCCTTCCTGTGGCCTTTCTTGCATATATTAGAAGCACTTCATTGATATCCCACAGCCTGACAGTGAGTCCTAGGCTAAGGATGGGGAGAGGAAGCAGGGAGGTGTCCCAAGGTGTCTACCTTGCCTTCCATGTCCAGGAGGGGGAGAAAGGAAACAGGATGAGGCAGGTGGGAAGGGAGACAATCTAATTCCTCCATAAATGTAATCTCTGGAAGAGGAAATAATACAGAAAGAAAGAGGGAAAAAAAGGAGAAGATCGCTCTTCCACTTCACTTCCCACAATTGCCTGGAAGTGCCCATGATTTGAGAATTAAGAGCCCGGGGTTTGAAGCCCATCGAAGCTACACTTTGAATGGATCTCAGCTTTCCGGTGATGAATGGGTATGCACCTCCGCTCTTTAATTTACAAAGAGCACCTGCCCTGTTAGCCTGCGACTCTAGCTTTTCTCACTCGCATGTTACAAAGCATTTTAATGTTGAGAAGCATACTCGTATTTCACCTTTATGGCTTGCATTGTTCAAAATGCAGTTATGAAAAGTATGCTTTAATAAAGTCACTTTGCTGCTCTTGTAGGGTTTTTTTTGTCTCTCTTTCTGCAGCAGCTATAAGCCATATATATTATTCAGCAATAGCCTGCCTTTGGACCTTTCCTTTTGAGACAGAAATTCATTTCACCTGGCTGTAAATCAGGCTCAGAGGTACCTTTAATCCAGAAAAGCAGATAAAACATATTTGATAACCCCGGTGTTAAAATACCGTATCAGGAAAATAATTTGTTCTACAAAGTTCAGAGGGAAGTGGTTTTGTAATCTCTGTGTATGTATGTATGTGTGTGTGTGTATGTGTGTGTGTGTGCGCGCGCATGCGTGTGCGTGAATGTGTGTACGTGCTACCACTGCAGCAAAACCCTTTAGATTAGAAATATCCAGCCAGGAATCTACCAGAATACTTGGCTCCCTTCTGTGGGGTGGAACAGAGGTGACATGAGTAACCGGCTTGTGCAAATGCTAGAGGGTAGCCGGGAGGCCAAGCCATTTTTCAAAATGAGGAGCGGCAGCAGTGCTTGATTCCATTTGCATAGAGCTCCTAATAAGATTTCCCAAGGCATTGGTTAGAAAGATTGACTAGGGATGGCGGTTCCTGGACAATCCAGTTCTCTCAGCAATGGGCATTTGTAGCTATAATCTACTTTTCTAGGCAACTGGGGACAAGCAAGCTTTTTTTTTTATTAAAGAGCCTACATTATAGATGGCAAAGAAGCTTGATTTGTAAGAAAACCTTTGGGCAGCCTGGGTGACTCTGGACCCATCATTTACACTTCCTGGGTCTCACTGGCAACATCTACGGAATATAAATACGTTTCCTTGCTAAGGAACACTTTGGGTCTCAATTTCTCTGGTTTTCAGTTTAGTAATTGGCCTGGCAGCTCCTCTCTACCTCATCTGATCAACAGATGACCTCTGGTTTTCTTTTCCCACCTCCTAACATGGCTCCCAGCACTTCTGGGACTTTCTCGCACAAGGAGACTTGAACACGAGCTACTTACAGATCCAGAGAGAGGAAGCTGGCCCCCACCAGGGATATGTCCCACTAGGGCAGATAGAGAGCCCATAAGACAGAGAGAGGTGTAGATCAGCCACCATTCGCATGGCTCCACAGCGTTGGGAGAACCCCAATGTGACCCGCAGTTTTCACTCTGGAGAAAGAGTGCTGATCAGATCTCTGTTTGTTTGACCTTCACGGACAAAGCCAGATTTAGAGGCCAAGGTTCAGTGAGTACCCCCAAGATCCTTGGGGTTGTTATAAACAGCATTTCATGAGCATTTTTACTGAGCCTTCCTCCTCTTAATCTGATGGGGTGAGTATTCTTCTCATTTTATCATGAGAAAACTTAGCCTCTGAGTTCAAACCCTAGTCCTACCAAAACAAAAGGAAGGGAGGGAGGGAAGAATGGAGGGTGAGAGATAGAAAGAAAAAGAAATGAAGAGAAAGAAAGGAAGAAAGAGAGAGGGAGGCAAGGAGGGAAAAGAAAAAGAAGGGGAGAGGAGAAGAAAAGAAAGCAGTTGAGAGCAGAGGAGAAGAGAGCAGAGGAGAGGATTGACCCTCACTGTTGTGAAGAGTTACAAAAATTTCGGCTTTATCCATGCTAAACACTGATGGCTTTCTAAGAATTTGTAATGTGTGTGTGTGTGTGTGTGTGAATGTGTGTGTGTATCAGTGTGTTGTGGGGCTTGAACTCAGGGCTTAGAGGGCAATCCCTGAGCAATTTTTCTCAAGGCTAGTGCTCTACCACTTTGAGCCACAACTCTGGTTTTCCAGTAGTTAATTGGAGCCTTACAAACTTTCTTGCCCGAGCTTTGAACCGAGATCCTCAGAGCTCAGCCTCCTGAGTAGCTAGGATGACAGGCGTGAACCACCAATCCCCAGCAAGAATTTTTTTTAAGTTTTAAATCATGAAATCTTTACAACAAACTCAAGAAGAATCCCTGTGTTGGAAAGAACTAAGGCTGCTCTGGCGGAGGTGTGTGTATGCATGTTTCGTGTGTGTGTGTGTGTGTGTGTGTGTGTGTGTGTGTGTGGTGATCTGGGGCTCAGGGGAAACTTCAACTGCTGTGTTCTCTCCTGTCAGATCAGAGTTCCAGAGGACATTCTTGGCTTCCTGACAATTGACCAAAGTGTCTAACCCAATCACCTGTAAGACAACTCTTGTTTCTCATTTAAGCAAGGAAGCATGTTCTGTCCTGATCTGTGACTCAGGTTTGTCCTTGTTAAAGGAATGGATGAGTCTGCCTGAACAAGTCATAACCTCCCCTCTCCTAACTCCTTTGCTCAACAGATATCGATTTTGCCACCCGCAAGATTGCAGTTCGTCTGTCTCAGACCAAGATCATTGTTCAAGACGGTAACAACTTCAAGACAAAAACCAACAGCACCTTCCGGAACTACGACTTGGATTTCACTGTCGGGGTAGAGTTTGATGAGCACACAAAGGGCCTGGACAACCGGAACGTCAAGGTACTGCCATGGGCTGGAGGTTTTCACCTGTACAGTACATGGTACCCAAGTGGGTTCTGTGGCTTCACTATGAAAACAGACAAATACACACAAAATGGCACAGTCAGGGGGGCTGGGAAGGTGGCTCAGCGGTAGAGTGCTTGCCTTGTATGCTCAAGGCCCTGGGTTCGATTCCTCAGCACCACATAGGCAAAAAATAAAAAGCCGGAAGTGGTGCTGTGGCTCAAGTGGTAGAGTGCTAGCCTTGAGCTGAAGAGCTGAGGGACAGCGCCTAGACCCAGAGTTCAGGCCCCATGACCGGACCCAAAAAAAAAAAATGGCACAGCCAGACGCTGGTGACTCTCACCTGTCATCCTAGTTACTCAGGAGGCTGAGATCTGAGGATCACGGTTTGAAACCCACTCCAGCAGGAAAGTCTGTGAGACTCTTATCTCCATTTAACCACCCCAAAACCAGAAGTGGTAGAGCGCTAGCCTTGATCGAAAGAGCTGAGACAGCACCCAGATCCTGAGTTCAAACCCCACAACCGACAAAAAAAAAAAAAGGACAGAAATAATTGGGATGTTTGGAGCAGGCAGGGCTACAGAGGAGCCAGCAGATCTCTGTGGACTGACAATAGGGACTTCGTGAAAAGCTGAAAAGGAAGAACTAAGAAAACATGAATGGACTTCACTACCCTAAGATTTCAGACAGGGACTGATACCACCAGGCTGTTCAGAGCAAAAAAAAGGACAAGTTGGAATGACCTTAGCAGAGATGATGGCTGTGTGGCCAGGGGCAGGACAGCTTTCTGGAAAGGGGCAGTCTGTTCAGTTTTCTCTGGCATTGCCACCCTCTTTCCTGCTCTGTTTTTCAAGAGATGTTGAGAATTCAGATATTTTTATTTTATTATTTTGTTGTTGTTGGCTGTGGGGCTTGAACTCAGGACCTAAGCCCTGTCCCTAAGCTTTTGCCCTCAAGGCTAGTACTCTACCACTTTGAGCCACAGAGTCACTTCCCGTTTTCTGGTGGTTCACTGGAGATGAGAGTCTGATGGACTTCCTTACCCAGATTGGCTTTGAACCACGATTCTCAGATCTCAGCTTCCTGAATGGCTAGGATTACAGGTGTGAGCCACCAGTGCCCGGCTAGATGTTTTTATATAAAAGATCTCAACTTTCATTTTGTTTTTCTTTTGTCAGTCCTCGAACTTTGGGCCAGGGTGCTGTCCCTGAGCTTCTTTTGCTCAAGGTGAACACTCTACCACTTGAGCTACAGTGCCACTTTCTGGCTTTTTTGAGTAGTTTATTGGAGAGGAAACTCTCAGGGAGTTTCCCACTTGGGTTGGCTTCAAACCATGATCCTCAGATCTCAGCCTCCTGAGTAGTGAGGATCACAGGTGTGAGCCACCAGGTCTGAGTTGAGGACAGGATGAAGTGTAATATTCAAAGCATCCTTTCTCTCTGATCAAGTCAGCCACCAGACCCTCTGCCTCCCAAACAGAGGAAGGACACAGCTAAGTGTTCTGTCCCCATGTATGTGTGCCCTTCATCCCCAGCGAAGGGCCAACCCTGTGGCATGCTACCTCAAACAGGACTCCCCACCCTGCCCTGGCCTTTCTCCATCTATCTTTTGGCCTTGTGATAGTTTTCTCTTCCAGAGATTTTACATTGTTAGTAGTTGAATTTGTCATCCTACTCCCCCCCCCACATAATGATTTATGATATTTTATGAAAGAAAAAGGTCACCAGGTGCTGGTGGCTCACGCCTGTCATCCTAGCTACTTAGGAGGCTGAGATATGAGGATCACGGTTCAAAGCCAACCAGGGCAGGAAAGTCTATGAGATTCTTAGCTCCAATGAACCACCAGAAAACTGGAAGTGGAGCTGTGGCTCAAAGTGGTAGAACACTAGCTAGAGTTGAGTGTACCTAGGGCATGAGAGATTGAAATCCAGATTCAGGCTCCCAGGATTCTCCCAGACCAGAGTTCTGCCCCATGGACGCACAGGAGCTGGGTGACAGTGTCAGGGAGGGCAGCTGCAGGTTTGGTATGCTCAGCTCTCAAGACCATTTGTTTGCTCTGTCTGGGAATCTGTCGTGGCAGTCTCTGGTCACCTGGGAAGGCGAGACCCTCGTGTGCGTGCAGAAGGGGGAGAAGGAGAACCGAGGCTGGAAGCAGTGGGTTGAGGGAGACAAACTGTACCTGGTAAGTCCTGGGGTCTGCACACCTCTTTCCCCCTGTGCGCCCATAAACTCTTACGCTCACCTGGCTGGATGCCGTGACAAGAAAAATGGCCCTGCAGTCTCCTTCCCTGAGCCACAGCCAAATGTGTATGGTCTTAGAGTGAGAAAGCCATTTCCATCTGGCCCAGGGGACTCCAGAAAGAAATCTATATGGCTGTTTCCATGAATGGCTGCAATTAAAAAGCAACTTTAAAATGCTGAGTTAGAAAGCTAGGATCCAAGGCGAAATGCTGGGAACCTGTTAAAGGCCCAGCTGGGGAGAAATGTGAACCCCGGTATTAAGGTGCCCTGGAGAAGGGTAAGACCAGGCCTTCTCTCAATTATGGGAGCCTGACGGGGCGAGGCATGGTGGTGGGCTTTAAAGGGGAGAGGCAGGTGGGCAGGGGAACTGCCTCAGGCTGTGTTTCTCCTCCTGAAACATGATCTTCCCAGACCCCCAAATATTTTAGATCAATTTAATTACCAGAATGGAACAGTTGGAACAGTGGCCGATAGCTTCAAATAGTATCTACCTAGACAGCTTTTTTTAAATATATATATTCTTCCTTCTTCAAGCCAGTTTATAGACCCACATTGAAATAGTGAAAATGTTCTCAGTCCTTCATGCATCCAGCCACTCATTTGTAAAAATGGATGACTCATTCAAGTCTCCATTCATTCATTCATTCACTCACCTGTGGTGTACAGTGGGTGCCTGGCTCCAGTGTCCACAGTCAGATGGTCAAGGTGCCCTTTAACCAGCCTTGCTTCACCTGACATCTTCATTTAAGCCTTCTGTATATTTTCCACTGACATTTTTCCTTAGCTGCTTTGATTTTGATGGAGAGAGAGAAAGAGACTCTTAGCACTTGTGCCATACCTCCACTTTCGGCTTGTTTGAGTAGTTTCTTGGAGATAAGAGACTCACAGAGTTCCCTGCCCGGGTTGGCTTTGAACCAGCATCCTCAGATCTCGGTCTCCTGAGTAGCTAGGATGACAGGTATGAGACACTGGTATCTGGCCAGATGATGGATTTTTTTTTTAACTTGTGGAGCCATTCCCAATGGAATCTGTGACTAGGACAACAGATTTGTCGCAACTGCCAAGAACGTGATGGTCTTCCTCCCATGTGGTTCCCCCTCCTCCTCCAAGGGGTGCCTGGACAGAGCTGGCGGGGTCCCTCTGTGGCCTTCCGCACCCTGTCCTTGCCTAGGTACTCAGCAGCCAGCAGCATCTCAGGTCTTCACCTGCCCAACTCTTCTCCACACCAGCTCCTTCCCTGCCTGGTGACTTGGCCGCTTTTTATGATTGAAGTGATGTTGCTTTCATCACAGGAGTAGGAGAGTATAATTTTTCTTTGCATTTTCCCCCACTCTTATAGTTGTTCAAGCTCAATTTGAGTATCAGAAATCAAATTATGACTCCCTGCGGGGAATACCAGCCTATTAGCCCAGGATGGCCAAGTGTCCCCTCTTTATTCCAGCCCCACTACCTGCACACCCAGAGGGTGGGACAGTAGGGAGGAGGAAAACTGGGCTCCTTAGCTAGTCACCTACTTTCTGATTTGCAGGAGCTGACCTGTGGTAACCAGATGTGCCGCCAAGTGTTCAAAAGGAAGTGAAGCTATGTGGGGGGCCTGCCAGGCACCGGGAGTTCTCTGTTGGCTTTGGGGAGCAGTGTGGAAACCCTCATAACTCCATTAAAGCACACCAATGGGTATATCCAGAATGAGTATGTAACAGAGAGACGCATTCTCCCCCTTGGAAACCTGGCATTAAATAAGAAACGCACACACACACACACACACACACACACAAACCAAAATGTACTAGCATGCACTCAAAAGCTTCCGGTCTATTTTCCTTTATTTCCAGAGCTGCTGGGTTTCTTGCATGAGCAGAAGAGATGGCTGCCTATGCGTATGCTTTGTTGTTTGTTCATTGACTCTGTTTTATTTTGTTCCCTTTAAAAAATATTATTATTAGTTTGTTAGGTGATGGTAGGGGACTGTTGTCCCCAAGAATGTTCTCAGACACAACATTCCCCATGGAATCCTGAACACCCCCCCCCTCCGTTTGAGAGGCGTTCCTTTGAACAGGTGTAGCACATTAGTTCTCTGACATTCTGCATGTTTGCTTGGTTGGTTGTGCTAGGGTTTGGCCCCAGGGCCTTGCCCTCTTTTGACTTGCTTGATAAGCATTTGAGCCACCCTTCCAACCCTGCTTTTGGCTGGTTATCTTAGAGGAGTCTCATGTGCTTTTCTGTCCAGGCTGGCTTCGAATCATGATCCTCTAGCTCTCTAGATCTCCGCAGGCCATACAGACCTGACCTCAGCTCCTCATCAGTACCATAGTGCCAGCCAGTCCTGGTCCTTAACCTTCAGCCCTGTACTGTAGAGAGAGTCACGGAGCATGTGTTTGTTCAGCTCTGTGTCCCTTCCCACCTACCATCCATTCAGGGAACCACAGGTGCTGACTGGACCATCAGTTTGTTCTTCACTTCTGTCTTTTTGCTGCCTAACTGGAAATAGGAATCTCTCAGATTTGTCTGCCATCTTGGATTTTGAACCACAGTCCTCAAATCTCAGCCTCCTGAGTAGCTAGGATTACAGACATGAGCCACCAGAGCCCTTTGTCCAGCTTCAAAACAACAACACAGCAATTTGGAAGCCTTTCAAAATCTTCTAGCCACAAAGTCCTCCCTTAAACCAGGGAGTTCCCTTCCTCTAAGGATAGTTTAGCTTTTCAGTATGTGTTGGAAGGATTGCACTCATTCCTTAAGTGAGCATTCCTTCCTTTGGTGACAGATAACAATGTGACTTTAAATTCTCATCTTCCAAAAGGGAAGTTTGCAGTGTATTTTCCCCCACAAATGACCCGTGAGTGAATAAATCTGTTCACACAGGGTGTGTGAAAGAGCGTATCTATTCATTCTACTGATTATCCTTTGCCAAAGAGGATGCATTTGAACTTGGAGAAGGGAAATTTGCAGGCCCAGTTCAAAGCCAGAGACGATGTTTGGGGCCAGGGTTTCCCTACACTTGCCTCAGCCTATGTCCAAACCAAACCGTGGCAGGAATGCTTCACCGCAGCCTTGACGGGTCTCACTGGGAGAGCACGGAAGAGGTGACCCTTTGGTACTTGCTGGTACTTGTAATTGGGGTGGTGCAAAAGAGACTCAAAGACTTTCGGATCTTCCAGCCTCCCATGAGACAAGTTGGGGTTAGCCATGAAGTGAGGAAGGGGAAGGGGTGAGGGTTCTTGAAAACTAAAGAAAGATTTCCATGCAAATCCCAGTTCACAAAAATAGTCAAGAGTCTCTGTGTGGCTGGAACACGGGGTTTGGAGCAACCTTGGCTAAAGAATGGACTACACCTCTCAGCCAGCTGTGTGGTTACAAGGTGGTTACAACCCCTCTCTGCGCTTCCATTTTCCCATCTGTCAAATGAACTTACCTTAGAGGGAATTGTAAGGATTGAATGAGATCTCATTCACACATGCACACATACACACACATGTATATGCATACACATATACACGTGAGCACTCCTCCTCCATCTTACGTGTGTATTGGACACACGCAATGCAATTGTGATCCTCTTTGTTGAGACTACACTGTCCCAGTCCTGCAATCCCAGCTACTTTGGGAGATGGAGATCCAGGGTTAGAAATCTGAGGCCAGCTCTGACCCAAAAGTTCAAGAGACTCCATCTCAATCAATGGTTGGGCACGGTGGCAAACAGCTTCAAGGAAAGGTCAAGTAGAAGGCCAGCCTGGTTACAAGGGGAGACCCTACCTCAAAAATAACCAACACATCTGGGTTCCAGTGGCTTATACCTGAAATCCTAGATACTCAGAGAGGCTGAGATCTGAGGATCACAGTTCATAGCCAGCCCAGGCAGGAAAGTCTATGAGACTCTTATCTCCACTAAACTACCAAAAAGAAACAGGAAGTGATGCTGTGGCTCAAGTGGTAAAGCTCAGGGACAGTGCCCAGGCCCTGAGTGCAAGCTCCGGGACCAGCACAAAAAGGCGGGGGGTGAGGGGGTAGGCAATGAGTCCAGATGTAAATGTATGCCCAGCAAGCCTAAAGTCCTGGATTCAATTTCCAATCATGCTAAGCTAGCACAAAAACAAACAAAAAAACATATTCCATATTTCCGGAGCTCTAGTTCTGAGATCCAGCTACCTACAGCTATCCATGAGGCCCTGAATTTCATCTCCAGCAAGGGGAGAGGAGAGAGAGAGAGGTTGGAAGAGGAGGTGGGCTACGGAGAGGGGAGAAGGAGGCAGGGATTCATCTACTGCACCTTCCTGCCTTAACCAGGTGATATCTCAGGTCCTTTCCATCTATGCCTCAGCTCTCTGAATCCCTAACAAACCTATACAGTAGGATTATCCCTACTTTATCAACAGGGAGTCAGAAACTGTGCCCAGGGCGATAGCTAAGATGTAGTGGCACCAAAGGCACAATAGAGTCTCACTGAGCCCAGGCTCTTGCTGGAAACCCAGGTGAGCCTTCCTCCTGTAGCTGCCCATCAGTCTTCGGGCAAATGGCGAACGTAACCTTTTCCAAGTACATCCAAATCGTAATCCAAGCCTTAAAGGACCACGAAGTCAATGGAAGGGAATACTTACTGAATTGGAACAGAATAGACTATTTTATTAGCCTAATTGCTTTTAAACTCCTGTGAAGTGTTTAAGAGCTCCATGGAAATGTTTTCTTTTATTAAAGTTAATTGTTTTCATCTTTAAAGGCCCTATTTTAAAACTTAAAACTTCTCCAGAGAGCTGAGCACCCCTGTAGCTCATGCCTGTGATCTTTAGCTACTCAGGAGACTGAGGTCTGAGTATCACAGTTCGCAGACAGTCCAGGCAGGAAAGTCTGAGACTCTTATCTCCAATTAACCATGAGAAATGAAGCTGTGGCTCAAGGGGTAGGGGTACTAGCCTTGAATGTTAAAAGCTAAGGGATAGTGCCCCAGGACCAGCCCCAGTACTGGCAAAAGCAAAAAACAAAACAACAATTAAAAAAAAAACACCTTTTCTCCTCAGGTCTTTGATCTCATTCCAAGCCAACAGCCTCATTGTGGCTGGGCAGGAGTCTCACCCACCTGTTCACTGTGCTTGTGACTCTTTGGGGACTTGTAACTATTGGCTGCTGGTCCCGTAACTCTGGGGTAACCAGCTGAACAAGGCTGAGGGTCATGTTCTTGGTGTCTATTGCTGTTGCATGCTGGGCCTGCTGTCCTCTATCCCTTCCTGTCCACATCATAGTTGCCACATCTCAGCCAATGCCTGTTGATGCTTTCTTCACCAACCCATTCATTAAGGAGCATTGATTTATCATCTCCTAAAAGCTAGGCCTAGCAAATGGAAGAGATGCCAAGAAAACAAAACAAACAAGCAACCACGCCCCGCCCAAAGTAGGCATGTTCTCTGTCATGACAGATTGTGGAGTGGATTGAAGACTTATGGCAGAAATTATGATCCTCATTATATAAAAGCGAAGGCTCGGGTTCAAAGAACAGAATGTACAAAAGAGACCACCAACCCTCTTCCTCAGCCAGCTGTGCTCTGGATGTGGTTTAAGCTTGGTCTTCAGGGGGTGGTGGTGTTGGGATGCGGGGCCTGGACATGGGTTTCTAGTCCAAGTTAGGAGTTTAGCATGGATGTGGGACCCCAGTCTCTCCTGCTTTCTGGTTGGCTGTGAGATCTCTTCCTCTCACAGTGCTTCTACCAAGGCCATTCATTTTGAAGGTGACAGGGGACCAGGAGTCCTCACTACCACCAGACTTCCGGCCCCCGGCCCCTTCCAAACTAAGAGCTAAATACGCCTCTTTATGAAGTTAGCCTGCCTTGGTTGCGTTGCTCTTTCCTTACCCAAATGCAAAAGGAATGGATACGCTGCCTCTTCTGTTTCCCAGATGTGGCAGGAGGCAGAGAAAGGGACCTGCCAAAGGACTGGAGAGGCCTGGTTTATAAATGCAGCTCCTAATAAAAGAAAAACAAAGGCCCTCGAAATGCTCCAGCCCCAGATACATGTGATCTTGTCTGTCCTGTTCTCCGCACAATACCTACCAAGCTAACCAGCATATAATTATTAGTGGCAAAAGCAACAATGGGCTATTTTTACTTTCCAAAAAGATGGGCGGGAGGGGGAGACCATATTATTCTAGTGAAGTGTTTTGCCCTCAGAAGACATTCAGGGAAGTCTGAGGACATAACCTGGAGAGGGGTGCTACTGGCATCTAGTGGGTAAAAACCAGGCATGTGTCAACAAACCCCTCGATACTGGATACAATGGCCCTGCCACCCACCCCAACCAAACAAGGCATATGAGGGCCTTCGGCTTCAGCTCTGAAGAGAACAAGGACTTCCCGCAGGTCAGTAACTAGTAATTCCTTTGGAACATGATGTTTTGCGGGGTACAAAGTACTTGATTCCATGACTGATGACTTTTTTGTTGTTGTTGTGGGTTGTGGGGCCTAGACTCTGGGCCTGGGCTCTGTCCCTCAGCTCTTCAGCTCAAGGTGAGTGAGCACTCTACCACTTTAGCCAAAGTGCCACTTCCGGCTCTTTCTGCTTATGCGGTGCTGAGCAATCGAACCCAGGGCCTCATGC